ACTGATTTGCAAATATTATTTGTATTTTTGTGTGCCAGGAATAAATTCCACTTGATCATGGTGAATTCAGTTTTTTTTAATGAAATATTGTTGGATTCGGTTTGCTCCTGTTATGTTGACGATTTTTGCATCTGTGTTCATCAGAGATACTGGCTTGTGGTTTTGGTTTTTGTTTTTTGTAGTACTTTATCTAGTTTTAGTATCAAGGTAATAATTCCTCATAGAAGGAATTTGGAGTCTTTCCTTCCTCTTTTAGTTTTTGGAATAGTTTGAACAAAATGTGTATTAACTCTTCCTTAAACGTTTGGTAGAATTCTGATGGGAGTTTTTCAGTTACTTATTCAATTTCATTGCTACTAATCAGTCTGTTCAAGTTTTTTATTTCTTCCTGGTGCAGTTTTGGGAGAAATAATTATGTTTCTAGGAATTTATCCATTTCTTCTAGGTTGCCCCATTTATTGGCACATAATTTTTCATAATATTCTCTTTAATCCTTAGTATTTCTGTGGTGTCAGTTATTATTTCTCCTCTTTCATTATTTTATTCAAGTCCTCTTTTTTTTTTTTTTTTTAAATGAGTCTGGCTAAAGGTTTATCAGTTTTATTGAACGTTTCAAAGAACCAGCTCCTGGTTTCATTGATCTGTTCTATTGTTCTTTTAGTCTCTATTTCATTTATTTCTGTTTTAATCTTTACTCTTCCTTCCTTCTACTGGCTTTGGGCTTTGTTTATTCTTCTTTTTCTAGTTCCTTTAGGTATAAAGTTAGGTTGTTTGAGATTTTTCTTGCTTCTTAAGGTAGGCCTGTATTGCTCTAATCTTCCCCTGAGAACAGCTTTTGCTGCATTCCAAAGATTTTGGACCATTGTATATTCATTTTCATTTTATTTCCTCTTTGATTTCTTGGTTGACCCACCGACTGTTTAGTAGCATGTTATTTAATCTCCATGTATTTGTTCTTTCCACTTTTTTCTAGTTTCATGCCATTATGGTCAGAAATGTTGCATGATACGATTTCAGTCTTTTTGAATTTGTTGAGACTTGTTTGTGGCCTAACATATGATCTATACTGGAGAATGTTCCCTTTGCACCTGGAAAAGAATGTGTATTACACTGTTTTGGGGTGGAATGTTCTGAAATAACTTTTAGATCCATCTGGTCTAATGTGTCATTCAAAGCCACTGTTCCCTTGTTGATTTTCTGTCTGGATGATCTATCCATTGATGTAAGTGGGGTGTTAAAGTCTTGTACTTGTTACTGTATTACAATAATTTTTTTTCCTTTATGTCTGTTAATAAATGCTATATGTATTTAGTCACTCCAAATAAATATTTGCCATTGTTCTGTCCTCTTGTTGCATTGTTCCCTTTATCATTATGTAGTGTCCTTCTTTGTTGCTTGTTACAGTCTTTGTTTTAAAGTCTGTTTTGTCTGAGATACAAGTTTTGCTACCCCAGCTTTCTTTGCACTTCCATTTGCATAGTAAATGATTTTCCAACCCTTCACTTTCTTTTTTTTTTAAGATTTATTTATTTATTTGAGAGAGCGAGCGAGCCCTTCCCCATGCTCACTGCTGAGGGTAGAGTCCGATGTGGGGCTCAATCCCAAGACCCTGAGATCATGACCTAATTTTAAGAGTTGCATGCTTAACTGACTGTTTCACCCAGACACCTCTCCATCTTTCAATCTTCATATATCTTTAGGTCTGAAATGAGTCTCTTATAAGCAGCATATAGATGGTTCTTGCTTTTTTTATCCATTCAGTCAGCCTCTATCTTTTTTTTTTTTTTTTAAGATTTACTTATTTACGAGAGAGAGAGAGAATGAGCAGGGGGGAGGGGCAGAGGAAGTGGGAGGGAAAATCCTCAAGCAGACATCACGCTGAACATGGAGGATGAAGCTGGGCTTAATCCCAGGACCCTGAGATTATGACCTGAGCCAAAACCAAGAATTGAATGCTCAACTGACTGAGCCACTCAGGCACCCCAGCCTATATCTTTTGATTGGAGCATTTAGTGTATTTACATTCAAAGTAATTAATGATATGTATGTACTTACTGCCATTTTGTTACTTGTTTTACGTTGTTTTTGGAATTCTTCTTTGTTTCTTTTTTCTCTTGCTCTCTTGTGGTTTGATGGCTTTCTTTAGTGATTTGCTTGGATTCCTTTCTTTTTATTTTTTTGTATATCCATTATAGGTTTTTGATTTGTGAGTTCATATATTACATCTTATGTGTATAGGTATCTATATAAGGTTGATGGTTGCTTAAGTTTGAACCCATCTTAAATGCACTAAATTTTTTCTCACTCGCCTCCCCGGCCCCCAACACACACACATTTTATGTAGATGGTGTCATATTATATCCTTTTGTTTTGTGAATCCCTTGACTTATTTTTATGGGTATAACTGATTTTAATGTTTTGGTGTTATAACCTCCATACTGGTTTTATATTTAAGTGATTCATCTACTACTTTTATTATATTTGCATTTACCTGTGAAATTTTTCCTTTCCTAATTTTCTTACTCCTGATTATGTCCTTTTTTTTTCCATTAAAGAATTGCCTTTAACATTTCTTGTAAAGCTGGTTTAGTGGTGATGAACTGCTTTAACTTTTGTTTGGGAAACTCTCTCCTATTCCTAATGATAGCCTTGCTGGGGAGAGTATCATTGGTTTCAGGTTTTTTCCTTTCAGCACTTTGAATATGTCATGCCACTCCCTTCTGGCCTCCAGTGTCTGCTGCAGAATCAGCAGATTGCTTTATGGGGTTTCCCTTGTGTATAACTTTTTTTTTCTTGGTGCCTTTAAATTCTCTTTATCACCACTTTTTGCCATTTTAATTATTATGTCTCTTGGTGTGAACCTCCATGGGTTGATTCTGTTGAGGTCTCTGTGCCCCCTGGATCTGGATTTCTCTTTCCTTCCCTAGATTCGGAATGTTTGTAGCTATTATTTCTGCAAATAAATTTTCTGCCCCCTTTCTGTCTCTTCTCTGAGATCTGTGCAGTGCATATGTTAGTTCACTTGTTGTCACTGAGTTCCCTTAACCTATTCTTTTTTCTTTTTGCTGTTCATCTTGGTTGCTTTCCATTACTCTGTCCTCCAGCTCACTGATCCATTCTTCTGTTTCCTCTGGTCTACTGTTTATTCCCTCTAGTGTATTTTTAATTTCAGTTCTTCATCTATGATTGGTTCTTTTATATTTTCTCTTTGTTAAGGGTCTCACTGAGATCCTTCACTCTTCGCAGCTCTTTATGATCATTATTTTGAATTCTCTATCAGGCATGTAGCTTATCTCCATTTCATTTAGCTCTTTTGCTGTGATTTTGTCCTGTCCTTTCATTTGAGACATATTCCTCTGTTTCCTCATTTTGTCCAACTCTCTGTGTGTTTCCATGTATTAGGAGAGTCAGCTATGTCTCCTGATCTTAAAAGTAGTGGCCTTATGAAGAAGAGGTCCTGTAGTGCTCTGTAGTTCAGTGGCCTTTGTTCCCCAGAACCGGGCACTTCGGGCAGAGGTGTCTCCTGTATGTGTTACATGTGCCCTCCTGTTGTGGCTCAGCTGCTTTTGCCTTCAGTGCAGTTGGCTGCTTCAGTGCACTTTCTGTTGTGGGCACGGTTTGGTCCCGGTGTTGTAAAGGGCCAGTCTGGGGCCACCTTGGGCTTATAGTTGGGTCAGCCCAGATGCCAGCCCCCAACCTGGTGGCTGGTGCTGCAGTCACACCTAACTGCAGGGTGCTCTCCCTGTGCTGTCACCTTGGGAGCTTTTGATAATAGTTACAGTCTATTTTACCTGGGTGCACACCACAGAGAACCAGAGACATTTATTTTCATATTCTCAGCTTCCTGTCTTGTTAATATTTTCAAGTATTTAAAATAAGGTCTTTTAGTTATCTTGATCCTTTCAGGTCCTCACGTATCTTACCTCTCAGTCTGAGCTTCTGTACCACCTTGTGTAAATGCAAAGGCGCAGATGGGAAAGTATGTATGCATTTCGCAATTTGCTGTGATTTGAAATGATCTGTAGTGTATCTCCCTTTCCACAGAATTGACTATAGGGTGAATGAAATTGCACTTACAAAACAGGATTTTTTTGTTAGGTATGGCAATAACATAACTTGATCAGCCTTAGGATTTTAGAATCCTCACTGTTGTAGTTTTAATGACAGCTACAATTGTCATTTATATAGTGCCTTACAATTTTTAAGACAGCTTTCCATTCATCATCTACTTTGATGGTCACAATCTGTGAAGTTCTAATGTTAATGTCACCTGTATAGCTTCCTGTCTTATCCAGTTGCCGTTGGAGTTCAGATCCGATGACATTGAAATCCTCAGAGATAAATCAACATAATTTAAAATTCTAACATAGATTTTCTGGTTTTTCACTCTTTGTATTTTGCGCTGTAATTTGGGTCAAGGTTGTGCATGTTGTGTAGTAGTGGTTGGTCCAGAAAGACCCAGCAAACAACTTGTAGTGTTTTGTAGCCAGATGATGCCTAGAACTGCTGGCCTTAGTAATCTGACCTTTGAAATGAAGGTAGTTAATAGCAGGATTGAACATCAAGAATTTCGTTGATTCCTACAGAAATAAGGAGGAGAAATCCCTACCCCTGACAAGGCTATGCTTTCCTTGCCCACACATTTCAGCTCTCACGTCACACCCAGGGCTGTTCCTGAAAATAGAACTAGGATGTCATAGTCGCGACTCTCCAACTCTTTTATCTAAACTCTTAAGTTTTGTGTAAAATGGACATGCTATTGTTAATTGGGCTGTTTTTTTCTCTTAAAATGGTTCTTTTGAAAGAACTATTTAGTTCTCAGTTCTTATTGAGTCTAGTTGGAAAAGTCTTCATTGTAAACAGAAAATAATTGATGGTGAGTGTATGGAATTGAGCTTCCACCCCTTGTCTATTTTTTCTTTTATTGTTTGAGCCAATTTTTTCTTATCCAAACAAACTTCTGAAGGTTAAAACATGGACTTCTCTCCTTTCCTTGCCAGTGTGCAAATCTCCAGGGAGTCAAGATGCTCTGTTCTAATGCAGAAGGAGCATCCCTGAAACTGTGTAATTTTGAAGATCCTTCTGGTCTTAAAGCCAACTTAGAAGGTGAGCTTCTATCTATAATTACGTTTTCTAAGGTGAAAACACCATGAAGTAAAAAGCCCAACAAAATAATTGTTACGGGAAAGTCATGACCACTATAGGGGGATATAGATTTCTTCTCTCCTCATACTTGGAGAATGAACAAGAGTAAGTCCTATCTTGGTCTCAGTCATGTGCCATGCAAGAAGTTAGGGAAAAATCCAGCCTTTAATATTGAATAAGGCTTTAGTTGGAGAATTAAATATCAGCATCTCAAACTTTGAAACTAAACATAGCATACTCTTACACTGACTAAAATGAATTCCAGTTTGCACAAAGCCAGGCAGTTTTTGTCATTGTTAGATTTAATGTTTTGTTTATGAATTCCTATTGCTCTGTTGTGTCAGTGAACTGGTCACTTTGTTTAGTTGTATGTTTAGAATACAGGGTATTTACCTTCCTTATCATAAACTTATGGAGGCTGTTATAAAAGTGTTTATCTTAAGACCGAATTGAATTCCTCCCTCAAAAATACAGACTAAAATATTCTTAATTCATAGTATAAGCAAACAGTTTTTTAACAATGAACTCTTTCTCTGTGGAAGTTGGTTGAGAGACTGAGATTTATGGTTCACAGAGTTCTTTCCAAAAGTTAAAGGAACTTGTCATCATTCACTTCCATTAAGTCATCCTGTGGTTTTTTAAAGGTAGATGACTATAAATATTTTTAAGTTCAACTGCCCCCCAAATATGTTCACTTTAGGTGCTAATCTGAAAGGTGTGGATATGGAAGGAAGTCAAATGACAGGAATTAACCTGAGAGTTGCTACCTTAAAAAATGCAAAGTTGAAGAACTGTAACCTCAGAGGAGCAACTCTGGCAGGAACTGATTTAGAGGTGAGTCACCAATTTCTAAAGAGTTTTTGTTTATCTACAATTACGGAGTATCTCATGCAAAATTTATTGAAATCATAAGCAAAGTAGTTGGCTGGTAAAAACTGCCAGGTGGCATACCAGCACAGCCGGAGGGATGTTTTTTTATCAATTGCTTGCTTCAACCACTTGGAACCCCAGAGCGGGATTCAGTTACACACGTCATAGATACCAGTCTCCGATTTGAGGATTCATCTGACATTTGCTCTAAGTTGATTTCATTTCTCCTCTTTTCCTTGGGTCTCCTTCAAGTAGATCAGTTTGATGGGTATTTTTATTAATCTGACTTATTGTGGGTTTTTTTTTTTTAAGATTTTTATTTATTTGACACAGAGAGAGATAGAGAGAGCACTCAAGCAGGGGGACCAGCAGGCAGAGGGAGAAGCAGGCTCCCCGCTGAGCAGGGAGCCCAACGTGGGGCTCGATCCCAGGACCCTGAGATCATGACCTGAGCCGAAGGCAGACACTTAACCGACTGAGCCACCCAGGCACCCTTCTTTTTTCTGCTCTAAGTCATCTTTCCATACCTTGTAGGCAAATTTCACTTCAATCCAATTGTTCTCTAACTTGAAAACTTTTCTAGCATTTCAGTATTTATTTCCTTGAAGTTCACATAAATTTTCTGAACCCCAGTTTGATACAGTAAAAAGAGAATGGTCTTAAGTGTCAGAAAACATGCAGTTTAATAATGATCAAGGTGATCATTTATTGAGGACCTACCAAGTGCCAGGCATTATACCAAATAATATATATGCATATCTCTTTTAATACTTATGTCAACTTTGTGAAGAAAGTGATAATACTCCATTTCACAAATGTAAACAGGAACTTTAATTAAGAGAAAGAATAAGTAGCTTCTCTAAGACAAAAAAGGAAGTGAGTGGCAGAACTGAGATTCAAATCTAATTTCTACTGTGCTGACAGAAAAATATGCTAAATATTACTTCGGTTTCTCAACTGTCTCCCATAGGTGTCTTTTGTATTTCTAAGACTTTTCCGGAAGTTTTTAAGGTTTGGTTCTGAACCTAGAAGTAAAAAAAAAAAAAAAAAAGTCGTTACTCTATTCCTTGGGGGGTTTCTGACTGACTCAGAAGATCTTGGCACACTGAGAGTGAAGCCCACTAGAAACCCCTTTGTATGGTGGGCATCTACCAGGGACAGATAGGAAATATGGCTGCCCCTTCAAGAGGAATCCAGAGATGAGGCCCCTCTGGCGTGGGCTGGAAAGTGTTGTGCCAGAGCAGCTGCCTGAGCAGCGTGCTGTTCATCAGATGACCTTTGTTTTGTAGCTGGAATATTAGAGGTGAATTGGGCTTTCCCTGAGAAGGTCATAATCTTCCCAGATAACTGCTGAGCTTCCCATATCTACCTCTAGTTACCCTTATTAGCTTGAACTATTCGAAGAAAGAGATTATGTCTCTTACTTTCTTTGTAATTTCTGAGTCCTTAGGAATTTTTTTTAACAAGTTAAAAAACTCAGCTAACTAAATGACTGAGGTCTTCATTTGAAGGAAAATGGATTCCCAATTTCTTCCCAAATACCCTGATGAAGATGTTTAACAGATGTAAGAAAATACAGTATACACACTAAGTCATCTGGAGAAGGTGCAGATTTTTTTTTTTTTACCAAGAAAAGCAAATGATACATAAAATCCCTTTTATCATTTAGAAATCGTTTTTTTTTTTTTTAATTAATTTCCTTAAGAGAGGTTTCTGAGTCATTTTGTTGACTTATTTGGAAACTAATTTACTTTTATTCATTTCTATAATTTTCTGATGCAGTAAGAGATAATTGTGACAAACCCATTCAGATCTGCTCCATTGAAGTCAATGAAATGTTAAGATGAGGTGAACTAGTCATTTAATATTAGATTCACAATCAAATTTATTTCAGTTATTTTAGGAACTTGTGCAATTAGGAGTTTTTGCTTATGGCCTATTTAAAGTGATTGTCAGAAAATTTTGAAATATAGAAGGCTTTCATTCTAATTCATTAGTTCTCTATGTTTTTCTTTTGCTGAATGTAAACTATTTAGAAAAACTTTGTGTTACAAATATTTAAAAATATTCTGTATACATGTTCTACACGAGTTATTTTTCTTCTGTATTGATTGCCTGCTTGTTGAATTTCACTTGTATTGTGAGGATTTAACAAAGAATTTTATAAATATTAAAATGAATAGTTTTCTATAAAAGTCACATCATTTTTATTATGATAGGTGTGTTAGAAGAAGCCAGATTTTTTGGTATTGACTCATTGATTGAACACCTGGAGGTGGCAATAAAGGTAAACCTCTTTTTACATTAGCCAGTATTACAATTATTGTAGCTGTCTCCGAAAATGCTCCACTAATTTTTTAATATCTTTTTCAAGAATTCTCAACCACCAGAGGATCATTCGCCAATATCTCGAAAGGAATTTGTCCGATTTCTGCTAGCCACGCCAACCAAATCAGAATTGCGTTGCCAGGTAATTAAAGCAGACTTTTACAGGAGTTATTTGTGTTAGCGAAGCTGTGAGTAAAGCTTTACATTCTTCTACAATTTTTTTTTTGCCTTACATTCCTTTTTCATGCAAGATAGAATTTAATTATGGGTGATAGCATTGCAAAAAAAAGAGATGTAATGGCCTTTTTTATTACCTAATATGCTTCATGTGGCAGTTTTTGAGTAGTTCATCAGAATTGCAGCAATTAAAATAAAAAGTCAATTGTTTGTACATTTGTTATGTATGGCCAGTCACTGGCAGATACTTTTACGTATTATGACATTAAAGATTTTAAAAATCTCAGTACTCACTTTTCAATAAAACTACCTTGAATTATTGAATACTTATAAAATATAGAAAAATATACAAATAATACCTATCAGTAGGTACATGGCCAACAGAGATCGCTCTTCAGAAATTTCTGCATATAAATGAAGTATAGCCGGGCTGGATTCTAATATTATGTTTAGAGGTTCTTTTACTAAGAACCCATTAAGGATGCTGGTTTTATATCTGAGTTTTATCTGATCCTGTCTTCTAATAAACTCCAACGGACTGACCTGCCAATTGCTTCTAAGAAGCTTGGGGGTTAGCTAGTCATTAACTGTAATATAACAGATGGTTTGAATTTTGTGACAATTTGTCTTTTTTTAATTTTAGGGTTTAAACTTCAGTGGTGCTGATCTTTCTCGTTTGGACCTTCGATACATTAACTTCAAAATGGCCAATTTAAGCCGCTGCAATCTTGCACATGCTAATCTCTGCTGTGCAAATCTTGAACGAGCTGATCTCTCTGGATCAGTGCTTGACGTAAGAATCCTTTCTTTGTTATAAGAGAGAATTAAATGTTTAGTCTATTGAACAGTCTCAACAAGCAGAAATGATCTCTCTCTCTTATGAGAGCTTTTACTTGAAAACAGATAATTTATTAAGTTGATAAAACCCAAGGCTTTGAAAGTGAAATGTGTTGGTTTTGCAACTTTGATATCCTTCAATAAATGAAGACCTGAAAGATTTAGCAACTAATAAGAAATTAAATCTTGAAATTAGATCCTCATCTCTTCAATATAGTGTACTTTAGAAGGACTTCTATTTTCAGTGAATTAGGAGGGTAAAGCCGAAAAGGACCTTTGAGATCTTCTATTCAGCCTCATTTCTGGAGTGGGGAAATGTTATTGCTCTAGAGGTATTTGGCAGAGATACTGTGAAATAAACATGATGTGTGTCAGTCTGTGCAAGTTAGCATCTCCGTGGCTCTCCTCCTCTCTATGTATATATACTTATGTGTGTGTGTGTTTACATGTATGTATGTATGTGTGTGTGTGTATATATATATATATATATATATACACACACACTTGACCCTTGCACAACACTGGGTCTAGGGGCACTGACCTCTGTGCAGTCGAAAATCCACACATAACTTTTGACTCCCCCAAAACATAACTACTAATAGTCTGCTGTTGACCAGAAGCCTTACCAATAACATAAACAGTCAGCATATATTTTGTATGTCATATGTATTATATACTGTACTCTTACAATAAGATAAGATAGAGAAAAGAAAATGTTATTAAGAAAATCATAAGGGGGGCACCTGGGTGACTCAGTCAGTTAAGCGTCTGCCTTCAGCTCAGGTCATGATCCCAGGGTCCTGGGATCGAGCCCTGCATCGGGCTCCCTGCTCAGCGGGAAGCCTGCCTCTCCCTTTTCCACTCCCCCTGCTTGTGTTCCCTCTCTCACTGTGTCTCTCTCTGTCAAATAAATAAATAAAAATCTTTAAAAAAGAAAAAAAAAAAGAAAATCATAAGGAAGAGAAAATACATTTATAGTAATGTATTATATTGATTTTTAAAAACCCACATATAGGGGACCTGGGTGGCTCAGTTGGTTAAGCATCCAGGTCTTGATCTCAGAATCATGAATTCGAGCCCCATGTTAGGCTCCACGCTGGGTGTGGTGCCTACTTAAAAAAAGAATTGGGGCACCTTGGTGGCTGACGGTTAAGGGTTTGCCTTCGGCTCAGGTCATGATCCTGGAATCCTGGGATCGGGCCCCACATCCCGCTCCTTGCTCAGGGGGAGCCTGCTTCTCCCTCTCCCTCTGCCTGCCACTCCCCTTGCTGTTGTTCTGTCACTCTCTCTGTCAAATAAATAAAATCTTAAAAAAAAGCAGGCTCCTGGGTGGCTCAGTTGTTAAGCGTCTGCCTTCGGCTCAGGTCATGATCCCGGGGTCCTGGGATCGAGCCCTGCTTCAGGCTCCCTGCTCAGCGGGAAGCCTGCTTCTCCCTCTCCCACTCCCCCTGCTTGTGGTCCTTCTCTCACTGTGTGTCTCTCTGTCAAAAAAAATCCACATATAAGTGGACCTGTGCAATCAAACCCATGTTGTTCAAGGGTCAATTATATATATAGGTGTGTGTGTCTGTACATATGTACATCATGTATTTATGTAACAGTTACCTGTGCTAATTTGGGGTTAGAGAATAGATGCAAAACAACAGTGATATCTAACTTCTAAACAACTTCAGTTTCCTTAATACCAAGGCCCATGCCTATAGGTTTTTTGAATTAATTATACCTAACATGGTACCTTGCCTTTTTTTTTTTTTTTTTAAGATTTCATTTATTTGAGAGAGAGAGCAAGCACGAGCAGGGGGAGGAGCAGAGGGAGGGAGAGAAGCAGACTCCACGCTGAGTGTGGAGCCCGATGTGGGGCTCATTCCCAGGACCTGGGATCATGACCTGAGCCGAAGGCAGACACTTAACTGACTGAGCCACCCAGGCATCCCAGTACCTTGCTTTTAGTAGTCATTGAATAAATGTTCATTGAATTTTATAATTTTAGTTTTATTCCTTACTTGCAACCTATTTTTCCATGAAGTTTATGATACCGGATCTATAAAAAAATCTGCCAATATACATTTCCAGTATTTTCACTCTCCTTGTCCCATCTTATGAGGAAGGACAACATTGGTAGCAAAATAAGCAAAAGACTATTAGCACAGAGGAAAGGTTTGAAGGACCTAGTCTTTAAATAGTGAAATGTTGAGAGACCACTCGTGTGGATTTTGTTAAGGACAAAACAAAAAAAGATAAAAAGACAGACTGGGTCATTCAGTACAGCTGGTTTTGAGTTGTGTTGAATTGTAGTAATACACCAAACCTGAACCATAATTTTCTTATCTGTAAATACTTGTTCTACCCATACTGTATAATTGGTAAACTGAAGTGCTATAGAATTGTAAGTTTAATTACTGATGATGGAAATGGCACATGTTGAAGAGTCATTGCCCAGGGTGTATAGGTTGTGAAGTCAAAACTAATTGCTAATTGTCCTTGGCATTTGAGGATGATTGCTAAGGAGTAGCTGTCATATCCACAAAATAGGATGTGTGCTAAGCTCTCTGCCACACAAGATGTACCTAATGGGTCCACCACTCTTTTTGAACTTCTCACCAGTGTATCACTCACAGGCTGTGAGGCCTTTCCATAGGAGCCATGCGATTCTGGTGTCAGCCAGGGTGATCGCAGTTGCTCTCCCTGTTAAGCAGAAGTCTATGCCACATTATCTCTTCTGTCAGCATGCTTTAGAGTGTTTGTTCTGCATACTCTGCCTGCCATCAGTGACCTCAGTCTGCTGCATAGAAGCTGGTGTAATAATTCAGCTGGTACGTATCCATTGCATATTCCCATCCAAGATTGATAAATGGTAACAGGGACCTTGATGGTCATCAAATATGACCCTCTTGTTTGGTAGACTGAGACACAAACCGAGCGATTTGCCCAAGCCCAGAAAGGCTAGTTTGTTAGCAGAGTTGGAGCTAGACTCTACAGCATGTGTTTTCTTTTTCTTATTTCTTTTTTTAATGACTTTTTCATGTGGAAAATGTCCAACATACAAAAATAGAACAATATAATGAATCCCCCTTGTTACCTCCATTACTCAGCTTCAACATATATCATCAGCACATAAACAATTTTGTCTGTACCTCTTTTCACTGTTATTTTGAAGCAACTCATTATTTCACCTGTAAATATTTCGTTTCTCTCTTAAAGATAAAGACCATTTGGGGAGCCTGTGTGGCTCAGTCGATTAAGCGTCTGCCTTCTGCTCAGGTCGTGATCTCAGGATCCTGGGATTGAGTCCCAAGGCAGGCTCCCTGCTCAGGGGGGAGCCTGCTTCTCCCTCTCGCTCAGCCCTTCCCCCACCCTCCCACCCCCATTTGTGCTCTTTTTCTCTTGCTCTCTCTCACATAAATAAATAAATAAAATCTTTAAAAAAATATATAAAGACCATTTTTGAAAACATAATCTTAATACCATACTTAAGAAATAATGGTAAAAACTGAATTGCTTTCATCAAAGCCCTTTGCCCCTTGATACAGTAGATAGCAAAACTCTTACAGCTGCAGTGCTGGTTTACTGAGTAGCTGAGTTCTGTACCCTCAGTGTTGGTGATCTGCTTTACCATTGATTAAGGGTGGGGGGAATGTTTTCTGTGGTTGAAGATTGAAAACTTCACTGAATTTCTTATAAATCTGTTTCTTTGTGAGATTCCATAGTGTATAGCTTTCAGTATAGAGCTGTACTTAAAATTACCTTGGGACTTTATTATTATTGTTGTTGTTATTATATTTAAAACAACAAATACTACTTTTAAAAAATCCCCCATGTACCAATAACCCATTCATCTAGACCAGCTGGTCTAATCTATACTTCCATCTATTTCTGCTTCTTCCCTATTTTTTTTTTATTATGTTATGTTAATCACCATACATTATATTATTAGTTTTTGATG